CAGTTTTTTGGCTGGGGCTAGGTTTGAACCTGCCACCTCCAGCATATGGGGCTGGTGCCCTACTCCTTGAGCCACAGGCACCTCCCGGTTGCTTTGTTTTTTGTGGACCTCTGAGCCTAATGACTGGATGGGCCTTGTCTCCTGTACCGTTTTGGTCTATTCTCATTTGTATCCAAATCTCTTAATGTATATGTCAATCTTTGAAAGAGACATCTATAGAAAGTTGGTCAGATCCCAGCTCTCATTCCTCACAAACAGGCTAGATAACATTTGTGTAAATCAGTTCAGCAGCAGCTCCTGCTGTCCTCATTATTCACAGAGAAATCAGGGCAAAGCACACTGATGAATAAAAATAGACAGTGTTCCCTGGCTGTTTCCCTGGCCCTGCATTCACCTCCATCAGGGATATAGAGTGTAGCACGCACCTTCTTTCCTCATCTGCATGCTTCCTTTCGGGACTAAAAAAGAAAACTATGCCTTAGATGCATGTACATACTCCACTCCCATCAGGGCTTCTGCTTCTCATCCAAAGAGGTACTCTGTACAGCGTTCCATTCCTATGTCTCCTGGTTCTGGCTGAAATTAGGAAACTTAGCAAGTTTGACAAGGCATATATTGACTTTTACAAAAACTGTAGTATAATGGAAATGCTTGCCAGCTGAGCACCACTGAGTTGTCTTGGAAGTTCTGCAAGTCAGTGGGGACCTTTAATGGTCTGTTTGCTGAGTCACATCCAAGATACTACCGCTTGTTTTTGAGTGGGCAGCACCTAATATCTGACTTCTAAATAAAACCCTTTGACTTACTAAACATTTGTCAACATGAATATCACTAACTTAATAAGAAGAGATTCAGAAGAAAATCAGTATTTAGAGAGAAAGGCTTTGTTTATTCTTTTTAAAGGTCAAATAAACAGGTAAAGCTCCATCTCCAAGGGAAATTGTCTTCTGTCCTGCAGCTAAAAATAATTACTGAGAAGGGTGTAGAAAGATGTTCAGCTGTCTGAACTGACTAACTCCTTATGCACTCTGCCTTAAATATACTGAGAGGGAAGAGGTAGTCTTGGCATCCCCATGTTTCAGAACCTGGTGCCCACAGAGGAGGAAACAGTGAGTGCTGCCCTCTACCCTGCTGAGTACGGGAAAACGGACCAAAGTGAAGCTTTTGAAAAGATGCTTCTATCTATGTACAAGACACGGACAGAACTTTATCACGAGACCAAGCCTGGCATTATGGAAAGGAAAAAGGCACTTGAAACTTGTACAGTGTAAAAATTCTGGCAATGAGTTGCATTTAAGTAAACCAAAGAATTAGCATCATAGCTTTTCTCTGCCCCAAATTCTCCTGATTTTTTCTCGGCTTAGAGCCTGAATCAGTCTGCAGCTGACCGACTGTAATCCTGGCCAGCACAGCTTCAAGGTCACAGTTACTGTATCGAGACCGTGGACATTTCGTTAATGTCACTATTGATGAAAACTGCCTTTAGCTCAATATTCTCTCAGCACCCCCACCTCTCACAATTTACAAAACAGAAGCAGCGATATCACCAATGAACAGTGAATTTACAAGGAAGCTACACCCACTGGTTACAAACCTACAAAGTTATAAGTAGTCACTTCATGTTCGGTATCAAGGAAATTTCCTTTAGAAAGCCCAGTTGCCAGAGCTAGATCCTTCTGCTTACCTGCTTTAGGTATTTGTTTACTGTCTAAGGAAAGTCCCAAGCAGCCAGGTGCAAGAAGACAAAGCTCCTTGGAGGGTGGAAGGGACGCCCAGTGTCCTCTGAGCTGCGATCTCAATTCCGATGCTTTTCATGTGGCTGAAATAGCTCGAGTGCTCTGTGCCTCTCCCAGTATTGAGAGCTGCTCCTGGCTCGGGGCTGAAGGGGAACTCGGTTTAAGGCTAAGTGTTAAAGAGAATTCCTGTCATAGCTCACAGTTGTTCTTCCTAAATATAGAGTTTGATACAAGCCATACACTGGCTGCCTCTGAAAGGCTTGACCGTGCGGAAAGCAGGGCTCAAATGTCAGCCAGGAGGTGGCTACAGTATCTTACTGCCCTCCTAATCTTCCGGAAGATGCTGGCTGCATTTGCTCACACGTTCTGAGGGGGTACAGCCAAGTTCAAAAAGTAGGAAAAGTCTATCTTTAGCTTTATTATCTGGAGGCCAGAAGATGAGGAGTGTTCAACAAAAACTTAGGGGAGATAGTGAGGCTCCGTGCTTCTGCGCAGGGTCACCGGCACCAAACAGTGTTTGAATCCCAGCTTGGTCACTTGGGAATAGTTATTTAATAATCAGTACTCCATAAATAGTCACCAAATGATGATAATCATCCATCATAAGTTGAACTATGTGACGTTACCCTTTCTGTAGGTTAAAAATGGTGGAAAATTGGGTTGGTGCCTGTAACTCAGTGAGTAGGGCGCTGGCCACATACACCAAAGCTGGAGGGTTCAAGCCCATCCCAGGCCTGCTAAACAACAATGACAACAGCAACCAAAAAATAGCCAGGCATTGTAGCGGGTACCAGTAGTCCCAGCTGCTTGGGAGCCTGAGGCAAGAGAATTGCTTAAGCCCAGGAGTTGGAGTTTCCTATGATCTGTAATGCCCCAGCACTCTAAGGAGGGTGACATGGTGACACTCTGTCTCAAAAAAAAAAACCCAGAAAACTGATAGGCCAGTGTGGTTCCAGGGCCCAGAGTCCTGCTCACTCTGCTCTCCTGGTTCTGCTGGACACAGTGCTTTTGACCCCAGAGCACAGGAGGCAACAAAACAAAGAGGAAATGTGTATTTTAAATATGACAAGGGCCAAGACCAGGTAAGAGGTAAAAATAATTTTTTGTTTTGTTTTTTTGAGACAGAATCTCATTCTATCACCTTGAGGAGACCTCAAACTCCTGGGCTCAAGCAATCCTCTTGGCTCAGGCTCCTTAGTAGCTGGGACTACAGGCGCCTACCACAATGCCTGGCTATTTTTTAAAGACAAGTTCTCACTCTTACTCAGGCTGGTCTCAAATTCCTGAGCTCAAACAATCTACCCACCTCGGCCTACCAGAGCACTAGGATCACAAGAGTTAGCCACTATGCCCAGCCTGAGGTAAATGTTTTTTGAACACAACACTGTCAAATCCTAAGGTATATGCTCAGTATTTTTAACACTACTTTTTGAATTGTTTCTGAACTTCGCCAGCATCTGAAATTACCTTTACATACAACTTCCCTTTAGCAGAAATATTAAACAGAGTGGACAGACTTAAAATCCATCTACCAGATGAAAGTGAACCCCACATCTCAGTTCCTGACACCATGATCAAGCCACTGAACTTTTTTTTTTTTAAAGACAGAGTCTCACTCTGTCACCCAGGGTAGAGTACCATGGCATCATCATAGCTCACCACAACCTCAATCTCTTGGGCTCAAGTGATCCTCTTGCTTCAGCTTCCCAAGTAACTGGGATTACAGGCATGCACCACCACACCTGGTTAGTTTTTCCATTTTTAATAGAGACAGGGTCTCAATCTTGCTCAGGCTGGTCTCAAACTCATGAGCTCAAGCAATCCACCTGCCTTAGCCTCCCAGAGTGCTAGAATTATAGCCTTGAGCCACCAAACTCTTACCAGCAACCACGGCCTACCAGTCTTTTTCTTATGTGGAGAAAAGAAGCTCTGATTGTATGAGCCCCTGAAGTCAGGTTTCTGTTTCTATAGCCGAATGCATTTTAGATGGAAGCAGCTGGCTGTTTTCATGTCTGTACAAAGAAAACCAACTTTCTGGGAATTTAGGGGGTCGGCAGACAACTGTGGTTCATTTTAGTTTGGGATCCACCATTAAGTTTTTTTTTTTTTTTGAACATTTGAAATTTGCTTTATGTATTTTTTATTTCAGAGTATTACACAAATGTTTTGGTTACGTGACTCACTTTTGTATAGTTTGAGTCAAAGTTATAAGTATGCCCCTCTCCCAGACAGTGTGCATTATACCTGTTAGGTGTGAATTTACTCCTCCCTCTTACCCCCTCCCACCTGCTTGCTTTCTGCCAAGTTTTGCTACCAAATGTGCACATGAATGTTGACTGATTGATTCCACTTTAATAGTGAGCACATGTGGTATTTGTTTTTCCATGCTTATGAAACTTGAAGGATAGTCTCCAGTCCCATCTAGGTTGTTACAAGAGGTAGTACTTGTTCACCTTTCTTTTTTTTAGAGACAGAGTCTCATTTTGTTGCCCTCAGTAGAGTGCTATAGAGTCACAGTTCATAGCAACCTCCAGCTCTTGGGCTTAGGTGATTCTCTTGCCTCAGCCTCCTGAGTAGCTGGGACTACAGGCACTCGCCACAATGCCCGGCTATTTTTTTTTTTTGCAGTTAGTCAGGGGCTGGGTTTGAACCCACCACCCTTGGTATATGGGGCTGGCGCCCTACTCACTGAGCCATAGGCACTGCCCTTCTTTTTTTTTTTTTGAGAAAGAGTCTCACTATGTTGCCCTCAGTAGATCAGACTCTTGGGCTTAAGCAATTCTCTTGCCTCAGCCTCCCAAGTAGCTAGGACAACAGGCACCCGCCACAAGACCTGGCTAATTTTTTGTTGTAGTTGTCATTGTTGTTTAGCAGGCCCGGGCTGGGTTCAAACCCACCAGCCTTGGTGTATGTGGCTGGCGCCCTAGCCACTGAGCTACAGGCACTGAGCCTAGTTCACCATTCTTTTATGACTGAGTAGTATTCTATGGTATACATGTAAGTTCCATATGTGTGCTGATTAACAGAATTGTGTCTTTAAAATTCAGCTTAGACATCATGCTTTGAAACAATATGGTACCAAAAGTGATTTATTTGTACACTGGAAAAGAGAATATAGTGTGAGTTTTAATATTTCCAGTGTTTGGCTACTTCTGTAGCTCTGTTTAGAGCTCTTCACCAGACAAAAGATGGCATCACTCCATGGACCAACAAGAACAAGCTGTTTTGACCCTTTGCCCTGCAGTAAACTCATACATTTTGTCCAGTCCGTTTGCCCCACAGACCCATCAGTTCCCATTAAAAGTGTATATGTCAAGGAAACTGCTCCTGGCAACAATGCTAGCCCATTATGGGCATGGTTGCCTCTGTGGGAAGATCTGAGGTGAGCTGTATAACCAGGGCTCTGTTGGTCACAAGTGACAGAAATACAAAGTAGTTTAAGCCAAAAGGGGGTGTGGCAGACATTGTCAAAGCCATTCTCAGTATTGGTTCTGTCCACCTGAGTTCTCTTGCAGCTATAGACAGTTCCTAGTACGCTATCAACTTCCTACCTCAAAACCCTGTATGCCTCTCCTTCTCTGTACTGGGGCTCTCTCCTCATCCAGTAGCAGTGGACATGACCCATAAGTACCAGGGAGCAACACCCTTAGGGATAAATTTCAATCAGTGGGGATGGAAGTCAAGTGATAAATGTTTCCACCTCTCTGTCCTCTGGTCAGATGATTACAAGGTGTGGCCTACAGTTTCCCAGAGATCCCCAGCAAGACTGAGCCTCAGCTGTCCACAGGTGGGATCCATTCACCAATACACCTTTATTGTTTTCTCTTTTCCCCATCTCACTTCTCTACTCCCTCACTTGTGTTCTCTGGGATCATCCCCCAAGTTAACCACCTGCAACCAAGTCCTTATCTCAGCATATGGAGTTGAGGCAAACCAAGACAAAATGGTTCATTGGGAAGGTTTCATATTGCTACAGGAAGGGCAGGGGTGCAGGTGGTCCTCAGAAATAACCAGAATCAAGAACTCAGACATCACTAGAGAGTGACAAATATATTTCCCCAACTCCGGTCTTAAAGATCTCGGGGAGTTGATTGCCCTAATTGAATCAATTACCCACTCCTGGCCAGGGGCAAGGTCATCTAGCATAGAGGAGGCCATTTTGGTGTACACCTATGCATTACGTCCTTCCCAGAGAGGGGAATAGTTTAAGGTGACCAGATTTTAACATTGGTAAAGTGGGACACCATTGATGGGGGGGGCAGTGTTCTTAATTAAAAATTTGGTCTATATGGAGCAACAAAAATTTTCATAGAATGCAAAAATAGTATTGTAATATATATTTTTTAAATTTCAACATAAGTACAATTTACAAATATAATACATTAAAAAAATTATGTATAGGGCAGTGCCTATGGCTCAAAGGAGTAGGG